TACCACAAGGAGATGAGAGGCTAATTACATAAGGGACAAACATTGTAGTGGCCTCAACTTGCTACAATAACAATATGAAAAATGCATAAAAAGACATAATGGGTTATCCTTCAAAAATAAATACATACATAAGTGATAAGTTGATGAGTAAGGGGTAAAAGAGTACATTCATATGACGTTTTTAACTAATGTGATGAGTTCCTTCAGCATTACTCGTAGATATATAGCATTCTAGATAACTAGTTCAGGCACAACCTTATAAGTATATATTGTACCTCAAGTAACAGCCTTTCACAACTCACAAGTGGCCAAACTCCAAGAACTTGCACTCTTAACAACATTTAGACAATTACTACTCCGTAATATAGAGAAAAACTAAAGTGATTTGCAAATTGTATAAATGTGAATCTTGAGGCTTAAGATTCTTGAATATAGTTTTAGACCTACACTAATAATTTTATGAAGTTAACTAGAGATGTACGCAATATATATCGAACAACCGGTTGTACGATGTTTCCGGGACATCCGCAGCGAGTACTCATTTACGAGTAACGATATACTCATTCTCGAGCAAATGAATACTCATTTTTGAGTAACATGTATACTCATTTTTATAAAATTCAATTATGCTCGAAAATGAGTATTCAGTTACTCGAGAATGAGAATGAGTACTCTGATACTTGAAAATGAGTATTCATACGGATGTACGAAAAATACCATACATCGGGATGTATGGTATAGGTGCGGCCAAATCCAATGAATGCTTATATTGAAAGAGTGATAGGACCATACTTTTGGACCTACACTAATCATCTTCGCCAACATTCTTGGGCGCTTATATTAAAAGGGTGATGGGACCAATGTCGCCTACTCAATTATAGATTATCAATTACTAGTAAATTAATAGTGTTTTCAAACAATGTTGTGTTATATTATGATTATCATGTGAAATAATTTCCAAACAAAAAAAAGGAACATCCCACTGAGATATTAGCCTCTAAACATTCACATAGTTAAATAAAAAAATATTAAATTACTGGAGTATATTCACTTTTACAGAGTAATAAATTATACTCCCTCCTCCTCCTCCTTCTTTCTCCTCCTTCTTCTTTCTTCCCCTGCTCTTTTTTCGATCCATACAGATCCCCCTCTTCTTCTTCTTCTTCTCATCATCATCATCATCTTCTTCTTCTTTTCCTCCATTTTTCTTCTAGATCTAAACAGATCTATGACAGAATCACCCTCCGCCTCTTCCTCTTCTTCCCTTCCTCGCAGATCTTCTCTTTCTTCCAAATCTGCGATGGAGGGGGTGGCGGCGATTGAGGGACGGGAGGTTGTGGTGGAGGCTGACGGCACTATAGGTGTTGGTGGAGAAGGTGGGGTTGGCCGTGGTAATGGGGGATGGCAGTGAGCGACGGACCGACGG